AAAGGCATTCCTAGCAAAGGAAGGGAGAAAGACGGAGGTACATGACTGTTTTGATATCTTCTGTAAATTACCACAGGATATTGAGGCAGGGGGAAGCTAGGATGGGAGTAGGCTTTTTATTTTTCTTAGAGTGTTATTAACAGAATTAGAGAAATCCCTTTGTAGTAAATGCTAAGACAGTAGAAGAGAGTTTGACTATGTACATTTCATGTCAAATAAAAAGCAAAGCATTTTATGTTAGAAATCCTTTCATCTGAAACCTGGTCTTCTATTGTCACTGTTCATAGAAACAGTAGGGTTTTTTTTCAGAGCTGATTTTATCCCATCTTTTCATCTCTCAATGCTCAGTGGACCCTGGCTCACAAACGGGTCTGTTCCTGCTGTGTACTTGAACAGCTCAACTTGGAACATGCTTTGCTATCTGCTTACATTACTGTTAAGCAAGAAAATAACTGTTACAAACATGAAATTAAGTTGCAATTCTAAATAAAGTATTTGCTATTTCAGACAATCACAAGGAAGCACAATTTCAAGGTTTCTTTTCCTCGCCATCCCTTTCCTAAGCAACAAGAACTGATAAAATCAAAAAAGAGGACAAAGAGAAAAGGGCATGCAGAGATCACAGAAGTAGCAGGAAAGAAAATCATTTGTGCCGTCCATTCAAGTACTCTCTCCACCTTTTTTTCCCCGATGCATCCCCTTTCCTTCTCCTCTTTTTCTTTAAAGATGCTGCCAGCTGCTACGCTGGGGAAACTATAGGTAGTTTTTTGAGATGCTTTGGTGGAAGTTCCTCCAGTTCTGATTTGTGCAATGTAGGAACTTGAAGCCAGGCAGGAAAGGATTCCTGTTTCTGAACTGACACTAACATGTCATTTGAGGGAGTCTGGAGAACAATATAATTCATTACTTAAATAGCAGTCAAGAATATAAGCCTTTTTACACTCCTCGAGTTCCAAATGCTATACATACTCTTTGGGGCAAATAAAAAATGGTGCTAGCAAATTGCTGTCAAAACAAATCTGGAGGATGTGCTCAGAATTAAAATAAAAGTCTTGATGAATGCTCTTGTTTGATTCAGGATTTTAATTATATTCTACTTATTTGGCTTATAAGGAGGAAAATCTTCTGAAAACACTTGTGCAGCATGGAGTCCGCAGTGGAAAAACTGCCAGTCTAGAAATGGAAGTGGATGGACTGCCCTTCTACAACACCCATTCGCTTATGATTGAAAAGCTCCGAGAAACAGCACAGCAGTGACTGCCCCTAAGTCAAGAGTTGCTCCCATGTTCTTGCCTTCTAACCTAGGCTTTCACAGGGTGTACAAGATCATGAAAAGGTGACTTCTCATCTCTGGTGTCTTGGCTGCACACAACCTTTCACTGTTACCCTTACAACATCTCTGTGAATCATCATGATGATTTGGTCTACCTTTCTTTTCTGTAATTTTATAATGGAGAATGGATATTAAATCTTAGCATAAACTAAGAGGTGACCTGGTTTCTGCAAAGAAAGCTTCTCATTAAAATGAAATATTATTGCATTGCTGTTCCTGTTTTACTAACCTTGCAACTGCAACAGGAAGTAACTCTTGTAGCAGCTTAGATTTAAAAATACCTTGTGGTGGGGAAAACAGCTGCAGTGGAGAGGGAAGGTGCAAACCAAAAAACCCCCCAGAAAATGTTACAGTAATAAAAGTTAAATACAGCTCCCTTGCACACTCCCTGAAGCCCCTCTTAAGATTGTCTTCTTATGGTGGTGGGTAGTTTGTGGAAGTGTGAGAAGGCAAGGGAAGCTTTACCCGAAGTAATAACAGTAAGGCCAGCCTTGCAGGGCTTCTGTAGAAGTTTTAAGGTGTGCCATTTGCCTCCTTCCTGCTAGTAGTTTGCCATTTGTATATTTTGTCCTTTTCTAGGTAATACCGAAAGGTTGTGGACATTTCAAGGTATCCTATTGTTAAGAATAAATTAATTAAATACATAGTGATTAAAAAATAATGCTTAGAAATTAAAGCATCATTCGAAATTAAAAAAAAAGCATTCAATACTAAATAGAATTACGTAAATGAACATTTACATGAATTCCAGTTATAGAAATTCAGCTCCTGACAAGAATGGGTGAAGCAGAACTCAGAGGCCTAGTAACGCTGAACCAGTACATGACAACTGATTGTGAATTCTGCCCGATTCCTGTCATTTAAAGCTGTGATTTTACTTTAATTCCAGATGAGTGCCAGGGCTGAAGTTTTGCTAGTCATCAGCCCTCGCAGCAGGGAGGACAGGGTATATTTGACACTGCACCTCTCAGGCACCTATGCTTTAGCAATATAAAATGATTATAATTGTACAAAAGGCAAGCATCAAGCCACTGTGCTTTACCAGAGTAAGAATGGCAGTTCAGTTTAGCCACTGCCTTTTCCAAAAGACAGTGGACTTCCAGCAGCGAACGACACCTTTTATCTAACATTTCTTTCCAGCAGGTTTTATTTTTCTTCTCTTATGTAAGGCAAACATAACTTTTTGAGAATGAGAAAAACCAGTTTATACCACAAACACTAGCACACTTTGAACATTAATCTTCTAAGTCCTTGAGGATACACAGCCTTTAAAGACTTAGAACAGTTGAACATGTATGAGATAAAGAAATCTTAATGCCAGACTTCCTGATAGACATTAAGATTCACCAAAACTCCCAAAGTTGATTTTATACATTGGTCATTTTTTTAAGATTCACTTTACTTAAAGCCTTCTTGTAGGAAGTTGCAGTAAAACTATCTTTGAAGCTTCACAATTAGAAAACAGGTTTTTTTAGAAATCTCCAAACTATAACTATGAAGTAAAATATTTCTTATGAATACCTGAGCTTCTTGCCAAAGGCAGTAACTCCCAGGATGGCATTTATCCACTGCTGCACAGAGCCCACAGAATGAAATTGGCATCATTTAAAAATGCCTGACTGGGAAAAGATGCAGCCGACTTTCTTCTGTGTGCTACAAGCTTACTTACATGTTACAGTAACAGGTGCAACGTATCTTATTCTTTCTGAACACTAACTTTTGTCAAAAAATATTAATTTAGTAAGCTTCTTCTCTTTCTTTCCCTCAAATACAAGTTTTAGCAATCAGATTTTATTAAGAAATAGAAAATATAAAATGTAATAATTTATTTCACTTCTTCTATAATGCAGGTTTTAAAAACCCTTTCTCGTGCAGTCCCAAGTGCTGTGTTTAATCCAATTGCAATGTGTAGCATAACTCAAGCAACCACAGTAGGACCCTTAATTGATTATGTTCTGGCTGCAGTAAAAAGAAAGGCTGTGAGTGAGAGTTACATTTTTCCCTACAGCTCTGCAGCCTAAGGCTAACAGTTACAATACAGAAAAAAAAAGGGAAAATATTGCCTTCATAAAAATAAGAAAACAAAACCAAAACAACAGCTCCTCTTGTGGGTCAGCAGATTAAATGTTGAGAACTGAACAGAAATATTGGACTGTTGTTACACAAGTTTCCATCTGATTTTAAGCTGCTGCAGCTGACCAAAAGCTGATCACGTCAAAGAACCAACTCAAATAAACCTTAATCCCTCAGATGACAATTCCGTGTACTATGGCATGCTCTGCATTCCAGCTGTCTAATTTAAACAACATGGGTAGCTGTAAAGAAGTAAGGCGTAAACAGGACAATAAATATTTCATCCTAGAACAAACCACGTGTGTGTCTCACAGCCTGCAAGGTCATGGGAGTCCAAGTGGTTGGCTCAGTGCTTAACAGCACAGTGGCACAGCACCAGGATAGCTGGGAGCCCCAGCCTTGCCACCCCATTGGTACATGCAGGAGATTAGAGGAAAGACTAAAAGAAAGTAAAGCTAAACAGCACTAATGGTCAAAAGAAAAAACATGCATGTATAAGGTCATTAATCCACCTTGGTGAGGGGTCTAAGTATAAAGAAATGTAAAATAATTAAACAAATCAAATGTTAACCTAAGCAAACCTAATCCCCTCCTGGGACTGAAGACATGGACCCTTTCTGCAAGAGGGAGGAAAAGGTTTGCAGTCACACAAACAGAAACTGCAAGCCAAAGACATGAGACAGTTATTTCAAACACAGTGTGAACAAATACAGCAAGAAAATAATAAAAGCATTCTTTATTAAACACATCCCCTAAGTACTTCTAATATTGCACTCTCAACACTCTCAAGGTGAGACAACCATTAGAATATATTCCTTTCAGAAACTGATGACAAGCAGAGCTGTTTTATAATGACATACTTGAGACACCAGCAATAGATTGGCTGCCTAGAGAATCTTTTTGACATTTCACAAACAACCAAACAACCCAAACCTGATCGTCCTGTTGGAAGTTATCAGCTCCAGGCTGCAGAGACAGAAGTGTTTCAAGAAAGGTTTGAAACCAGTGAAGTGAAAGGACAAAGCAATATTCATCGTGTAACAGTTACAGATACAAGAAGGTACGATGAGCAGAAGTATCATACAGGATTCATTAGTATAATACAGGAAAAAAAACAACCAAACAAACTGAAGAGGAGATGGTGGTAGAAACACTGCTATAGACCACAACATGCACTAATTGCCATTATCTCTGCTCATTCCTGTATTTTGTTTGTCTAAACCAGAAAACACAGATCATTCATACATCATATTTCTGATACTGCATTTATTGAACAATGACCAAACCACAAGCTATTGTATCTGTGGTAGCAGAATCCATTTACCAGTTTCCCTAACTGTATTTTTATTTAATTGCCTGCATGGTCTATGCTACACAAGACACACAAATTGCAAAGGACACAATCAAACCTTAGCGACGTGTAGCAGAATTCAGATGTAACTAAATTTGTCTTTGAACACAGTGACTCAGAAAAGCGCATCAGCTCAAAGCACCTCACGTACTAACAACCTCCCAGTGAACAGATCAAATTATTTATCCCCCTTGGAGCCAAGAGTTCTTACTTTGGAAGTCAATAGGAGCCTTATGATGAGGTTCAACAGTCAACCAACAGACTAAAGGACTCAACAGATGCGGGGCGTCTTCTCCCAGAACATCTCATATTATTAGACTGGCAAGTTTAGGAGGCTGCTTCTGGCACAGTCTTTGCAGGCCTCACAACCAGCTGAAGGAGAAGTTATTTCAGAGTTACAGAAATACTTTTTTTTTTCTTTTTAAAAGTACGTATGGGGACATTTAATTTGTTCTGTCTCCAGCCTTCTCAACATACAATGACAGCTTATAGAGAATTATTTTCTCTAGATGCTGCAAGGGCAAACAGAAAGCAGCTAAAGACAAATTCAACAGAACACATACCATGAGTACTAGCTTATTCCAGTCAATGGAGTCATCAGAACAACAGTTTTTGAGTGGTGCCACAAGGACAACAAAAACATGACTGGAACTGAACTGACCCAGTGCGTGCTTTCCTCACTATTGCCAAGGCCTAGGCATATCCAGAAACAACCTTGCTGTACTGCATTTCTAATAAGCCTCTGGGAGGTAACACTGTAGTACATGGATGACTCAGATGGATACACTCACATGGCCATAGATGCAAATTTTAGATTAATGTTCTTTTTTGATGACTGCTATAGGCTGCCCATGTTAGTTGTGGAGGAGTCCCTGATTTCAGCACCATCAGATGATACTTGTAATAACCCTGGCCGTTGCTCATGCTGTAGCCTGTTGGGAGGTTCTGAAGTGTTCAATTGATAGGATTCCTTTGCCTCAGGCTTCAGATACCCTAAACATGTTAAACACGAGTCTCGCATCTTGGCAAAGTTCTGGTAAGTGCTTTCACTGGAAAAACAGTACAATACTGGATCAGCAATACAGTTAAAAGTAGTCAACAGGAGGGAAACATGGTAAATATTGAATATTTTCTCAGCAAATGAGCAGCTGTTCTCCAGCAAACTTCGAACCACAAGGAGGATGTGGTATGGTCCAAAGCAAACTAAAAAAATGAAAACAGTGCTTGAAACCAGGCGTTTAATTTGGATTTTCTTTTTCTTTTGAGTTCCGGGACTCTTGTGGACAACTCGTAAAATCCCACAGTAAGAGAAGGCCAGCAGGAAGAAGGGGAAAAGGAAGCCAGCAGAGAAGCGGTAGTAATTGACATTATGCTCCCATTCTTTGATGGGGTAATGCTCAAAGCACACCACATGGCTATCAGCATCCATACTGACCTCCCCATGTGTAAAGACAAAGCAGCATGTCATGATTTCCTTGGTCCAGATAATGATGCTCACAATCACAGCAGCCTTAATTGTCCGAAACTGCTGAAACCGAAAAGGGTGCACTACTGCGAGATAGCGGTCAATGGAGATGCAACAGAGGAAGCCAACACTGATATAGATATTCTCATACAAGATGATGCCGCAAATCTTGCACAGCAGCTCATCATAGGTCCAATTGTCATGCTGTAGAACATACTGAAGCCAAAAAGGCAAAGAAAATATGTAGAGCAGGTCTGCGATGGTCAAATTGCAAAGGTAGATACCCAATTCATTTTTAGCCTTGATCTGTAAATACCCATAGTAGAGTGACAGGCAGTTAGCTGGCAAGCCTACTATGAATACAAATATGTACACCACAGGAGATAACATCTGGTGGATATCATGATTAATAGTGCACTTCTCAGTTGCATTCTCTGTGAAATTCACCATCTTCTACCTCTTCCTGTGGATAACTCATCAGGATTCTGAGTGAATAGATGTAAAATTTAATTTCATCTGGTTTAATACGTCACTTACTTCTTCCATAGACTGAAGTGATGTCTTGCTGCAGGATGTTAATAACCTGAAGGTAGAACACATGAAAATCTTCAGAAAGGATACGATTGTCAAATATATAGTACAGTTTTCAGTAAGCTGCATTTTCCTAGCCTTATATTTCTTATAGTCTTTGATAGAAGATAAAGCCTGTCTGGAGTCATGATTCATATGACTAAGTCTTAGTTCTTACCAGAAAAGTATCAGAAAATTGTGTGTTCAAGAATCCCACAGCAAATGACAAAACATTTGTTGTTGTAGCTTTGCAAGTGCCTAAAAGGTGAAGAAATATCATCTGCTTTGCAGATGAAGCACAAAACCAGTAATTTGATTTGTCCATGATGGAAAAAACATCCCTGGTGAACCAGCAGTCCACTCAGACTTCCTCAGAAGATGTAGGGTGCACGAAACGGTTGATTTTAAATTTCCATTTCTTAAATTTCCTTTTAGATACCATGGAATAGGCAGTTGAACTCATCAGGATGAAAAAAAAATGTAAAAAAGGAATTTTTAGCAGTTTCTCTTACAGTTATGTAGAAGCACAATCCTGAAAGCAAGCTGTCATTCTCTCCCAAAAGGGCCCTGTAAAAATCTGGCACAAATTACTCCCATGGTCTCAGTCCTACAGGATAGGCTATTACAGATTCCTTATTTGCCATCAACTGTCATTTACTGCTACTACTTACATAGCTGTATCTTCCCTTTTCATCTTCATTGAATATGAATGTAATTGTTTTCACCTGGAGAATCTCCTTTAATCCAAGCTCATACCCATACAAACCATTCCCATAATTATACTATTGCTATTTAAGACACAAAACCCACTGTTGACAAGGTGTCAACACTGAAGTCATATAGGACAAGTGTTCAGCCTTGAGCCAGCTCACAGTGATTAAAACCCAGACTAAATGAAGTATCTATCACATTCAGCATTTTATCACCTCATACGATATATTCACATTGGCACAAATGCTCAGAACTGGTAAACAGCAAGGCAAACCGTGCCCAGCCTGAAGGGGATGTGTTTTACCTGATGATGCAGAACAGCAAGACTCTTCCCAGAAAACGCACAGCTGTGATGTATCCTTTTGTAAGGTTAACAATTTGTGTGCTCTTCCTACAGCTTCAGTTAACATGGCTTCAAAGGGAGACAGCTCTATCCAGGACAAAGATAAGGTATAAGGCCTTGTTCCTTTTTTTGGTTTGCCATCCTAATTTACATTGTTGTCATCATTTTCCGTTCTGTCTAGGAACATGGTATTTTTTCCAAGGCAACCCTTATGAAAATATGACCACACTGCAGTAAAATTAATGTCAGCTGCATCATTTGAGGATATTGATGTCCTTTTTTTTTCTTTAATAATTTTTTTTTTTAAGCAGTGGTGGGATCTACTCATGTAGAAATTGAGAAGAAAATCGCTTTGTTTAGGTTAGTAAAGAATTGCCCAGCTGAAATAAGTGACCAAACCTGCAAAGACTTTCAGTGTTTCTGGTTTCTTCAACCAGTGCAGCACAGTCCCACAGAAATCACAGCAAACTTAAGGACACATGTAAATATTTAAGAATTAGAATGTTGTTTTCATTCCTTTGCTTATCTTTATTCTCTCACTGACAGACAGAACACTGGCCCTGGGTTTGGTGGAAGTATTCTTGGGGATCTCAGTTGCCTTCAGTCTTGAAACAACAGGCCAACATAAGCTCATCTCTCTGAAAACTTCTGACTTCATTGTCCAATGCAACTTGTATGAAAGACCAGTCAAGTCTAGGACAGTGCAACCTCTGTTCTCCTCCTCTCAATCTCACACAGCTTCTCTAGGGGTTAAGAGACACCTCTCCACTGCGGATGGCACAGCAACTAGATAATCAAGCACAGCAGCAGAAGGGCTGCTTAAGGGACCCAGTCACAGATACTCATGGTTCAGTTCGAAGTTTTCTCCAAGAGATTGCCATAACCTTCCCATGAAACAACAATAATGTTATCAGCTCAGATGTGTAACACAGAAATTAATCACTGATGTACAAATTTCCCAGTTACTAAATAGCTTCATAACCACCTTCTTCTGTCTCCAGGAGACCTGGCTCCTCATCTGCAAGAAAAGAGCACAGAATCTTTGCTGAAGCAGGTTTGATAACCTACTTATCCCATCCTGCCTTTTCCACTCAGAGCTCCTGGCCAAGTACAATTGTATTTGTGTTTAATACCACTTCATTTATGTATAATAATTTGGCAACTTTCAATGTAAGATTTTGCCTGCACAGGATGATTAGCACACCTAGTTGTAGTCTAAAATGCCTAAACATATGGGATCTATCATCTAATCTCCCAACTAGAATTATCCAGTCAGTGTCCAGTTCCTGTTGATGAGGTCAACTAATAATTCAAAAGCTGCCAACAGCTTTGAAAAGTCAGAACTGTCTTTATAGGTCTAGCATTGTCCAGCAGCTGCGAGTTCTGTTCAGTATAACCCAGTGAGTCAGTACGGATCACAGGATGAGAAAAAGCAGATGTACTCTACAGTTGCACAGTTTTTTGAAAATTATCCTTTTCCTCTAAAAACTCAAAGTTTTTATTAAATTATGTTAATGTCATGGAAAACATGGCCATAAAAATATTTTCTGATTAGCTTAAAATTCTTGCCAAAATGCCAAATAGGAAGGAGACAGCAAAAGTCTCATTGATACGGCATTATGCTAATATTATATAAACTTATGATTACAGCATCATTTCCTGCTCCAGGAGGAAGTGCTGGAGTGGGCTGCTTCAGGGGGCCAGAAGAGAAGGCTGGCCGTTACAAATCAATTTGCCTTGTGCTAACAAAACCTCCCCAGTTTCAAAGATGAGAATGGAAATACTAAGGTCCATATTTCTGCTTGTGCAACAGCTGTCTCATACTGCTCTTCTGGTCAGTGGCAGCAATGAGCCAGGAAATCTTTCCCTTCTTTCAGTCTCCTCTGCACGTGGGGTCTAGGACACCTTTGTAACCTCTGACCCCTTGTGCCTGGTTAGGGACAGGCTCAGTAGCCAAATAGGAGATATAAAGGCAGTTCACCTTTCCCCAGCACCAAGTATGTGAAGCATAGCTCTGCACCAGCCAAGGGAGTGAAACTGAATGATATGAAAAAACCTGGTATCAAAGTACTCAATGGCAGTGCTCAACAGACGGGTGTGGAAGAACCCACCCGGCTATTAAGAACGTAACACACAATACCTGACAAGCTCTCTGGAAAAGTGGAACTAGAAGGAAAGGTGATGATGGGAGAGAAAAGATGAATATCTCCCTCATTACTTACTGACCTCCTCTGGATAGGGGAAGGAGAAGGAGGAAAAAAACCTGCTGTATGAAAAACATCTGGGATGCAGATACCCATAAAGCTGAAAGCATTTATGAACAGGAACACACACAGAGGCATTCCTTTTAGCTTTAATATGGAAATAGTACAGCTGTGTGATTTTTTTTTTAGGGCACAGTTTATGTAACACCTTCAGCATCATGGGGCTGCAGACATTTCCAGGCAGTATTTCCCTCTCATATATGCCCACATCTTTCAGTGGATACCCATTTAAGCTCAAGTCTTGTAAACAAATTAGAAGACTCTCACCATCTACATAAGCTCCAAACAATTTTCTTGTTCCTGAATTAAAAATAGAGCCAAGGATCCCTGGGCTTCAGAGTGCCTCACTTGGTTTCAACAAGCCAATTTTCATTACTCAATTAGACAGTTCAACAACAGGTTCTTTTCTTTCTCAACTCTTTTGTGCTTTAACTGTTGATAAAAATATGACTCCCCCCTGCACCCTGAACCATGGAGCAGCTCACATGTTAAGCCCTGTCTGCTGGCGGTGGCACAGGAAATATCTCGGAGCCATTTTCAGCAGCAGCCTCTTCAGCTCAGACCCCATATTAGCATGGAGCCTGGGTGGTTTCTTCAGTTTCAGAGAACATCGCTACAATTTCCCTCATAAGAAATCTGTCTGCAATTAGACCTACATATTTTTCTCAGAGACAAACGGGACTATGCCAAAAGACTTCCTTGTGGGAATTTGCAAAAGTTGTGCGCACAGCTTGTCTCATCCTCACCCATTTTCATGAACAGGGAGCGTAACATGGTCGTGCGCCTTTATGTGACAGTAGCTCTCTCGCTGTTTAATCTGTCCCTGCAGCTGTCATACACCACAGACAGCCCTGAGTCACTGTCATAGCAGGAACTGAACTGTGCTGCATATCTTGGAACCAGAAACCTGAGGCTGTTTCATTTTAGGATTTGGCTCAGATCATTACCTACACAAACACCAGCCCTTAAATACACACACTAAGCTTCCACCCAACATTTGAGGGTTTGTCAGCTTGGTTTGATCCTAGTTCACAAAGCCTGGAAGAATAAGGGCGGGTAAAGAGTGTGGGAAGTGATGAATAGCAGAAGAAACTAGGAACCGGTCAAACAATACAAACTGGGCAGAGACTGGCTAATGGCAAATTTGGAAGAAAAAAATAAAAAAGGTAGAAAAAAGTGGAAATCAGGGTGCATGAATGAGTATGAGGAAATGACACAATAATATTTAGATTCGATTGGAAGAACTATGGTGTAAAAGATGGACCTGTTGTAGCAGGCCCAGTGGAAGGCCACAAAAAAGGTCAGAGGGCTGGAGCACGTCTCCTAGGAAGTAAGGCTGAAGAAGAAAGTTTCTTCCTATGAATAAACTCTCACTGTTCAGCCTGGAGAAGAGAAGGCTCTGGGGACACCTCACTGCAGTCTTTCAGTACTTTAAAGGGGCCTATAAGAAAGATGGTGACAGGCTTATTAATAGTATCTGTAGCAACAGGACAAAGACTGATGGTTTTAAACTAAAGAAGGGTAGATTCAGACTAGATATAAGAACAGGTGGCCCAGAGAGCTGGTAGATGTCCCATCCATGGAAACATTCAAGGTCAGGTTGGACAGGGCTCTGAGCAACCTGGTCTAGTGGAAAGTGTCCCTGCTTCATTGCTG